AGATACATATTTGCACACCTACGCCGCGCAAATCATCCATCCAGCCATACGACCTACGCAAACGCTTTGGCGCGTGAACGGAAACAGTGTACACACGGGCCTACAGGTAGAATGAGCAGCGTACAACAAGAGTTGTCCTAATCCCACACTGAGAAGTGTGAGGTAAGCATGTAACGCTTACCAGAATGTAGCCGCGTGGCCACGACAAACTATTTACAAATGGGGGTGAAGAGGCAAGCACTATTAATCGAACATCTCCCCCTCTTGCTCCTCCTCCTACTCCTCCTCCTCCCCATCCTCATCATCATCATCATCATCATCATCATCATAATCATCATCAGCATCATCATCATCATCATCATCATCATCATCATCATCATCACCATCATCATCATCATCACCACCATCAGCATCATCATCATCATCGCCAGCAACAGCATCATCAGCATCATCAGCATCAGCATCATCATCATCATCATCATCATCATCATCATCATCATCATCATCATCATCATCTGGCTCGAGGTCCCCGAACCCCTGTACATGTACAAAGTCGCTGCTTTGCATGGCTTCCAGGATCCGAGGGAGCGGTGCTTTGATGCCGTTCGGGGCGCCGCAATGAAGAGGCCAGTCTCTTGCAGGCCCACGGAACTTGGGACTCCCCCTCACGCGACGGGAACGGGAACTTGCCCCACGGGAGCGGGAGCGCGAACCGAAGTTTGAATTGACGCTGGACGCGAGGGAGCTGCGCTCAACATTCTATGTCAGCCTATTTCAGCCTCCTCCTCCTCCTGCTCCTGCTCCTTCTCCTGCACACCCTCCTCCAGCAGGACCTCCCCTCTGCGCGTCTTCCTCCTGCCCGCCCTCCTGCATGCCCTTCTCATGCACGCCCTCGTTCTCCTCCTGCACGCTCTCCTCCCCGAGATTCCCTCCCCCTGCACGCCCTCCTCATGCACGTCCTCCTCCTCCTTCTCCTCCTCCACCTCCTCCACCTCCATCCTCGTGATGTTTTCACAGCGTGGTTTCCTAAAGACCTGGACCCTGGACCTTTCCCATGGGACTGGCTTTTGGTCCTGCCTTTTTTGTTACCTCTCCTTGGGCAAGGTGACGGCCCCCAGAGACTGAAATAATTCGCCAAAACCAGCCGTCGTGTATTTTCTCGCGACGCAGAGAAGCCTGGGTCCCCCAACATCCGCCCATCTGAATTTTTCAGTCCGTGGCCCCAGAGGCTCCCGTTCGACTGCACCAAGGGTAGTTTTCGCCTTGCGGCCCGAAAGCGGCCCCCGCCTGAGGGCCGAAAATCTGAAAGAAAACGCCAGTTGAAAAAACACATTGTTGTTTTTCGGTCCATACCTCGGCAATCCAGCGGCCGTTCAGGACGATCCAAGCACCCCTGATGCGCTCTCCACAGGCCTGGCAGCCGTTTCGGCTGAAACACCCTCGCAAGTTATTTCGGAACCGTGCTCTCGCCGCAATGCCAGCTACATGTTTGGCCTGGACGGCCACGAACTCTTGAAACAAAAACACTGAGCTGCATGGGGCCGCGCCCTCACCCGCGTCTTGGCTACATCTCTTGTTGCTATCAGGGTGGTTTGCTGGGATCCTGTTTGACGACGCGGGGACGCATGGGCCATCCCCGCCCCGACCCCCGCGACCGATCCGAGACGAGGGCCACCTCGCCGCCCATGTCGGTGGTGGCCACGACCACGCGCGGGCGGGCGCGGCTCTCCGCGGAGGCGGACCTGCTCAGCGCGGGCACCGACCTTCAGCAACAGAAGCGCAAATACTTGAACGTCTTGTTCCGACGGTCCACGGGGACCTCTTGGATCGGCGCTGGGCCCCTTCCCCTCCCTGGCGCGCGGAGCGCACTAGAGGCGGCGCCGGAACCGGCGCCAGGGGGCCCAGCGCAGATCCAAGAAATCCGAGCGGAACTCCGAAGGCTTCTGTCTCCACGCAGCTTTCCCTGACATCCGCCGATGTATGTTTTTCAATCCGCGGCCCCAGAGGTCCTGACCGCTTCCCCAGAGGTAGTCTTTCGGTGGGGCGATAGGTTTCTCTTGCGCGACATTATTACTAACAACGCCATCACTTTTCCAGCAGTCAGGCCAAAAACTGGTTGTGAAGCCAGACCGCACACGGCCCTCTCCAGGCTGATAGAACATGGAACGATCAGGAAACCGTACACGACGCGCGTGCGACGCCATGTGGTTTGTGGCCCACCCCATCGGAAACCACCAGCTGACAAAAATCATATAGCCAAGCCCTGAGATCCTTTGTGACAAAATGCAACGCCAAGATCTCAAGGGAGATCTGGGTGGCTTAATTCAGATTTCCTTATCGGAACCGCTGGCTGGGAAAATCGCATCGTCGGAGATTTGGACCCGGACACCCAACGTCTTGATTTTGGTCAAAAATGGTTCCCGGGATGTCCCGACCCCTTTTCCCAGGGCCCGTTTTTCGTCACGGACAATTGTCTCGTAGTCCTAGGCCCAGCGAGGACCGAAAACGGCCAGTCACGCTACCGAGGAACACCGCGTACCTATTTGATGTCCTGCGCGTGCCCACAGCACAACTACCCCTACTACGACTACAACCGCTACCACTACAATTGATAGACATAGGCCTGCACGGCCTGGGCCGTGCGGGCGAGGCCTGCATGGGCGCGGTCACCATGGGCGTGGCCTGCGCGGGCGTGGCCCCCGTGGAGACTGCGGGACGGCGTCCGCGCTGCTTGCGTCGGCGACTCGGAGAACATTCGCCGGCGTCGGGCCGTCTTCTGTCGCCACCGGTCCATGCATCCCCGAGAAGGTTGTTCCCTGGGAAATCCGCCCGAGGCAGGGTTCTGCAAATACGTTACCAAGCACTCCCTCCTGTCATCGTCGTTCGCTTCTGTATTTAACTCATAATACCGGATTAGAAGCGCGTCGGGCCACCACTTTATCAGCTGACGGTGCTGAGCTTCAAATGCGCCTGTAACAAGAACGTTCCCTTGGTCGTCCATTCGGACCACACGTAAGCCTGCCAGACTGACCTCGAAGCCGTCATTAACCATATAGGTCATCAGCTCCAAGCATGGAGGCGGCAACTCAGCGATAGCACACCTGGGCGCGCAAGACGTTTTGGATTCTACGCCACGCCGCCAGGTTGGCTGCGCTGGCGCGGCGGAGATTCCCTTTCGACGGTTAGCCGCTCCAGTGTCGAGCAAGTGCTACGCCTGTCGTGCCCTGCGCCATGGCCCGCAGAGAGGTCGCGCTCAGGGACCACCCCCTGCGCGCCGTCGAGAAAGCTCCACGACCCCCCTCTGGTGTCGAGAAAATGCCACGACTGCGACGCTTTCTGACCCAGGCACACACAGGAGACTGCGCTGAGGGACCACCCCCTCTGGTGTCGAGGAAAGTTCGCTCTTGTGTATGTGGTGCGCACGGCTGTACGTAGACGTGTGCATCATGTGTGTGCCTTGTGTTGTGTCGTGCTGCGTATGCCTCTTATTCGTGTGCGCGGCTATTGTGTGCGTGCATGTGTGCGTAAGTCTTGTGTGCGTATGTCTGATTCGTGTATGAACGTGGAGGCTGTTTGGTGAGGAGGGGTGCGGAGGGGAGATGGGTGAGCGCGGGTGCTACGCGGGTGGGGAGAAAACCAGAACCCCACTTAGCACGAGGGGGAAAACCTTCCGTCGTGTTTTTCACGATCTAGCAGGGAAGCCGGACGATACCGATACCGCTACTACCTGGACCTCTCCCGGGCTGCGTTCTGACTAGGATTTCGAAGCGAATCCAGCCGTGGCGACGAGGGCCTCCCTGGAGGCCCCAAAAAGCGAAGACGACACAAGGGTAGCCGTATCGTTACATGTTCCTTTTCTGTTCTGGGGGGCTTCTTTCTCCTCCGAGACTTGCTCCACCCTGGCTTCTGATTTGCCGATTCAGAACTGTGTCGGACATGCACCCCAAACGATGCGAAAAAGTAGGGCGGAAAGTTCCACCTCAGAAAGATAGGGGGGGATATTTCGGCAAAGGCATGGCGGAAACAGCGACGGCAAAATAGGGCTGAAAAGATAGCAGCCTCCCAGATGGGTTCGGAGTAGATGGGGTCGAAGGATCGCGCCGCGTCGTCGATGCATCACCGATGCATCGGCGACGTCGGCGTGGAGAAAATCGGGCTCCTCATCAAGCCGCATCGCCGATGCATCGCATCGGCGATGCGGTGCAATCCTCCGACTCCACCTGCTCCGACCATCTGGGACGCCTGGAAAAGAGGGCCGAACATTTGCGCCATCCCGTGGCAATCGCCCAAAGCGTGGCGGACCCGAGGTCGTCAGGGAAGGCAGTGGCAGCGGTATACTGAAGTGTGTGGTTTGCAGAGGGTGCGGCTTGCAACCCGCACCCCGAGGGGCGGGCGAGGGCCTCGACGGAGTTCTCCGCCGTGCCCCGAGGAGGCCCAGCGAAGGCAGGGCGGTGCTCCCCGAGCCCCAACGGCGCAGATCGCAAACCACACCGCAGCGCAGCCACGCTCTTTGTATAGGACGAAGCCAAGACGAGGATAAATTCGGGTGAGGACGAATCGAGAAACTCTGAGATCTGTCGGCTCTGGAAGATGTCTCGGGCGCCGCGGCCTTCTCAGTGCGTTCCGGAACGCCCTGAGAGCGTTCCGGAACGCTCTGGAACGGATTCAACCTCGTCCTAGCCTTCGGTCGGGCATGTCCTCCTACACACGCGGCTTTTCGAAGAAGAGCGAAAAAAAATCCAAATATTCCAAAATGATTACACAAATAATCGAAAAATCGTCCCCAGACTATTTTTTTGTACTTTTGAATTTTCATCCGTCGGACATGCCCGACTTAATCCTAGCCCCGCCCGCTTGTAGTCGCCGACCCTTGGCGACATGCTCGGGGGAGCTTCTTTTCGCCTCCGAGGCCTGCTCCAGTCCCTCGAGACCGAGGCGGCGGCCGGCGGCCTCCGCACGGCACCGACCCGCTCGTGCGCCTCGACGAGCGCTGCTGCCGCCTGCGCGGGGCGCTTCGGGGCGGCAGGGGGCAGAAGGAAGAGAGCTGCGCACATCAGCATCAGCATCAGCATCAGCATCAGCATCAGCATCAGCATCAGCATCAGCATCATCATCATCATCATCATCATCATCATCATCATCATCATCATCATCACCATCATCATCATCACCATCATCATCATCATCAGCATCAGCATCAGCATCAGCATCAGCATCAGCATCAGCATCAGCATCATCATCATCATCATCATCAGCATCAGCATCAGCATCATCATCACTGCCATCATCATCACCACAAACAACAACATCAGCATCAGCATCACCACCACCACCACCATCATCATCAATAGCAGCAACATCATCCACGCTGTCGTCGTCATCATCGTCAAATCATCACCAGCACATCAATACCATCAGCATCAACATCAGCAGCATAACCACAATCAGCTTCATCATCAGCAGCATCATCAGCAACATCATGATCATCAACATCATCATCATCATCATCATCATCATCATCATCATCATCATCATCATCAGCAGCATCATTGTCACCATCATCATCATCATACCATGAACAGCACCTTCATCATATTCATAACAATCACCAATACAATCACCATCACCATCATCACCATCATCAGCATCATCAGCATCAGCAGCAGCAACATCATCATAATCAGCATAATCAGAATCAGCAGCATCATCAGCAGCAGCATCATCATCACCATCATCATCGTGATCATCATGATCATCATCGTCATCATCATCAGCATCATCATCCGCGTCCTCATCCACATCCTCATCCTCAGTGCACATATACACCGATAACAGACCTCCGAAGATATGGTTTTGCACATGTTCGGCAATTTCGTTAGTTCTTGTCGGTCTTTCAACCTCGGTATCTTTCTCAACGGCTGCGCCTCGTCGACCGCCGCAGCCGCCTGCACGGGGCGCTTCGGGGCGGCAGGGTGTGGAAGGGAGAAATCTGTGCACATGCAAAGGACTACGAGACAGAACCATGAACTACGCACGTTTTCGACGTTTGCGCCAGTTCGTGGATAGCCCAGGTCGCCCCAGACGGCCGCTGGAAGGCCGAGCTATGTCCCGAAAACCAGCGCATTACTGTTGTCTATCTGGGCGCCGAGCGGTTGTCTTAGACTTCGGCGCATGGGGTCGTTGTAGGGACCCCAAGCCATCAGAAATGCATGCCGGGCGAAAGAATGGCCCCCAAGGGGCCGGTCGGGGCCTCTGTGGCCGCGGACTGAAAAAAACACATCGGCGGATGTCGGGGATCCTGGACTGTCCCGAGGATCCCTGCGTACGCCCTCATGGCATGGCCAGGGAGGCATATGCACCGATCCCAATTATCACCGACGAGATGTGTTCTGTAAAGGTTCTACATATGCCTTTTATACAAAAAACTGAAACAAAACTGTATTTGTTCATGGTAGCCAGCGTGGACCTAAAATATTCCGTTTTTAACAACCCATGTCGTGCAGCTTGTGTGGAGCAGTATACGTGACGCAATCTACCTGGTGCAACTTATGTTGTGCAGTCTTTGTGGTGCAACGTATGTGGTGCAATCGACGTGGTGCAAGCTATGTGATGCAATATGCGTTGTGCAGCCCATGTTGCGCAGCATTGTGGAGCAAGTGTAGTGCACTCTACGTGCCCAAACTATGTGGTGCAATTCGCCCTGCCGAACTTGGAATTGTCGATTCCACTGCTCGCGCAGTCATAGCACCCACCCACGCGCAACTTGATTCGCAAAACCCACGCGGCGGCGATTGCGATGAATGCTTGGCGTCGGCTGGTGCATATTTGCGGCCACGCTAGCCCGCGCATGCCGGCGCGCGAAACGGCCAGCTAGTGCGGCGCGACCGACGCGGCCACGGTGGCGCTGACCGCCGGGCACTTCCCAACGGGCAATTCAGTGCGAGTCGGCGACTTGGGCGGGCGCCGTATCATGGCAACGTCGACAACAGTAGACGCGATGATGGTAGTAGCTAAAATGGTAACGATGATGACAACGACGACGGCGAGGCCAATGTCGGCGCCGATGCTGATCACGCCGAAGACGATGACGGCGTCCTCGGGTAGGTAATGAAGGTGTTGGAAGGAGTTCGACATTCGCGCGCAGCCGACGCGCGAGGGGCCCACATGGTATGATTTGAGACGGATCGTGCCGCCCGCCCAGCACGCGCACAAGGGCGTTCGAATGATTGCGACATGCGGCGCGGGAGGCCCGTTTGGCCGAACTGCACGAAAATGTTGAAAACCCTTCGTTTCTGGAAGAATTCACAGGAGCGTGAGCGCAGGCATTTTTGCAAGCTGATATTGAAAACCATATATTTCTATAACCTAAGGTTTTGAAAGAAATCCGCACGCGCGCGCGACGACGCGCGCGCGCGCGTGCACTTCGTCCAATATGCTGCAAGGGAGTTTTGCGACAGTGCGCGCGAAAGAGCGTTGAAATGATTTCGACAAGCGGCGCGATAAGCCCGTTTGGCTGATGTTAATGAAGATGTTGACAAAACCATCGTTTCCTAAAAAAATTGCAGGAGCGCGAACGCAGCCGTTTGTTTGAACATCCTTGTTGCGAAACCATGTGTTTTTTACATGTGTTCCGGACACTCGACTTTGAAATCCATACGAAGCCCTGGGTTTGTGAAGGATTCTGGCATGCGCGCGCAACGATGCGCGCGTGTGCACGGCGTCCCATATATTGAAAGGGATCTTTGGAAACTGATGATTACGAATGCGCATGCACTGTATTTTTGGCCGGGGACAATGGGGGGTGATACCTGCCTGCCTGGGATGGTATGAATTCAGGTTTATATACATACATACATACATACATACATACATACATACATACATATATACATACATACATATATATATATATATTCATAGAATGGGCGATAGAGCATAATCCTCTGTGAATTGCAGTTAGAATGGGGATGCAGTTTAATCCGAAGGGGGGTGGGGGGAGATCCGAAATATTCTTCTAGAGATAAAGCGGCGCAACCGACGCGGCCGCGGTGGCGCTGACCGCCGGGCATTGCCCAGCGGGCACTTCAGCGCGAGTCCGTGTCTTGGGCGGGCACGGTATCATGGCGACCCCGAGAACAGTAGACACGATAATGAGAGTAGCGATGATAGTGACGATGGTGGCGGTGATGACGGCAGGGCCGATGACGGCGCCGATGTTGACCACGCGTCGGTGATGGAGGTTTTGGAAGGAGTTCGACATGCACGCGCGGCCGACGCGCACGAGTGGCCCGCGTGGTACTATTTCAAACGGATCGTGCTCCCCAGCACGCGCGCAAGGGCAGTCGAATGATTTCAGCATGCGGCGCGAGAGGCCCGCTTGGCAGTATTCCATGATAGTGTTGAAAAATTATAGTTGGTGTAAGAATTCACGAAAGCGCGAGCGCAAAAAAACAACAAACAAACAAAAAACGGGCGTTGCAAAACCATGCGTTTTCCAGCACGCGCGCAAGAGCGTTCTTGCGATTCCGACATGCGCGCGCGAGAGGCCTGGTTGGTGGGGCATGCTATATATTTTTCCCCCGCGCGAAACCGATGACTAACGAACTACCTACCTGGCCCGAGTCGGTGCAGCTCCGGGGGCACAAACCCGGAAGCCAGAAGGCACCGCGCCAGGGAGACGGAGTTGGACTGCAAATTTCTGTGCCCACACGTCGAGACATCAAACTGACGAACGCTACGGAATACGAGCATCCGCCCCACAGGAGGAAGGAGGAGACGAGAAGGGGAGAGAGGAGACACGAACGCGCACAGAACCGTATCACGCCCGAGCTTGGAAGCGAGTTGTGCGCCCAACCCTACCGAATGGCCCAAACGGCCTAACTTATAAACCACACACAACAAGCAACAAGCAGACAGAGAAAGAGGAGGACAAGAGAAGAAAAGAACACGGGGAGAGGAAGAAGCAGAAGAGGGAGAGGAAAGAGGGGGAGGGCAGTCCCGACCCCGCTAGGGGCATGCTATAAAACTGTTGACATATATAGTTTTCTTAAAGTCGCAGGAGCGCGGGCGCAGTATTTGTTTGAAACATTCTTGTTGCGAACCATGTTTATATATCCACGTATGTATACACACATAACATGTTTCGGGGCACTCGAATTGGACATCCTTGTGAACCAAACGGTGTTTGACGGATTTTGGCATGCGCTCGCGAAGGCGCGCGCGTGCGCAACTGGCCCCATGTTTTCTCAAGGAGGCTTTGAACACTTCTGACTTGTGATAGACGGGTGCGCCTACATACATATACATATATATAGTATGAGGGGCGATACCGGTTTAGTTGGGATGATACGGAATCATATTTAGGATATACGGTGGGGCATAATCATATGTGATTTGCAATACGACAAGGGGGTCCGCTAAATCTAGGGGGGCATCCTAGTACGCTTTCAGGAAGGAAAATCTCAGCGGCGAAGGGGCGGCGACGAGGCGGCGACGGGGCGGCGACGGCGGCTACATAGACGCCAAACCGAAATTCAGGCCCAGGCGACGGGCCGCGACGAGGCGGCGACGGGGCGGCGACGGCGGCTGCACAGCCGCCAGGCCAACCTTCAGGCCCAGACGACGGACGGCGACGAGGCGGCGACGAGGCGGCGACGACGGTGACATAGCCGCCAGACCGACCTTCAGGCCCAATTGATTATTCCAGAAGTAAAAAACCCCTAAGTGCAAGCACTGTTATATACACACGCATCAGAGTGAGAGGGCCGTACGGTCATTCACTGTCTCTGGGCGCGTGGCTAAAGTGGGATTCCGCGGTGCGAGTTGTTGTTGCGATGTTGTTGCGCTGTTGCGTTGGAATCATTCCCTACCTAGGCTCTGCCTAGAGGGTTCTTACTCTCCTTTCCCTACCTAGGCTCTGCCTAGAGGGTTCTTACTCTCTTTCTTAAAGGGGCCGGGCAGTGCACACCGCCCCGGGCGGTTCCCCCAGTCTCCGCCCCGC